TGTGTGCAAAGTTTTACAGCATCAATTTTTTGTGTGCAAAATTTTACAGCCCACAAACTCAAATTTACATGGAAATGTGCTGCGCGGATACTCAAAACTGCTGCGCGGCGTCTTTGAGATAACTACGCGGCAGCGCAGCTTAAAGGAACATTGCTCACGGGTGTTATAAAGTAATTGATAGTAAAAGTCATTCATATTAAAATAAAGCCATGCATTCCTCATTGTAAGAGAGAACATTGAACCCCTCTGTAGATTAATATTCTATCAAATGTGCATTATTATCACAAGCATGTTTGTTTTTTTTTAAAGAGCAATAACGAGTTTTCAGTTTTATCAATGATTCGAGATAACATCGGTATTTCATATGTTTTATCTGAGTCATTTTTACGAACTGTATCAATTCATATAGCATAGGCCTAGAGTTAGGGGAGATCCATGAGCGCCCGCAGAAAACTTTCTAGGGGGGGGGGGGCATAAAATCGATTAACTTTCCAAGGGGGGTGGGGGGGGGGCAAAAAATTTTTAGTAATGTTTTAATATAGTTTTAATTTACTGTAGGGTATTTGTTTGGTGAACGAACGGAAGGGACATCAGCTTATTTACTTTCTCTTTTTTTTCTCTTTATTTTAATAAATTTTTTTTCTTTTTTTTTGGGGGCAAAAAATTTTTAGTAATGTTTTAATATAGTTTTAATTTACTGTAGCGTATTTGTATGGTGAACGAACGGACAGGACATCAGCTTATTTACTTTCTCTTTATTTTCTCTTTACTTTAATAAATTTTTTGTCTATTTTTGTCTAAAAAATTTTTATCCAATCAATCCAGGGGGTGCCAAGTGCCCCCCCCTCTTCCCCCCCCCCCCTGCGGGCGCTCATGGGGACATCACAACTTTGGTAAAACTTCCAGTACCGATATTGCATTGACTGAATACAGTATTTCAATGCCAATATTTAGGCCAATCTCTTCTTTATGAATAAATGTTAAAAATTTACTGGCATATTCTCACAGGGCCCAATAGCTTGCTTGCCTGTGCCTTACAGCACAAATGAAGACTACCCCACAATGCAATCGCTAACAGACAAAGAAACTGGTAAGGAATAATCTACATACACTGGAACCCAGCTATAACGAGAATTTGGATATAACGCGTCCGTAGGATGCCATGGCCCCAGTAGTTTCATATATTCATAATTCATTCGCACCTGAATTTTTTTCAAAGTAAGTGAAACAAAAATAGTATAAAAATATCGTACAACACAATAAAAAATCTACTAATGCTAGTCAAACTTTAGCACCACATGCCGCATACCGGTAGCTAGCTCATTAAAAATCTTTACAAAAAAACAACAATCTACTTTAAAACAAACTCCACTGGCTATTCACACAGAGTAATGGGAAACACCGCATCAACACGACCCCACTGATAGCATGATCCAATGTTATGGACCCCAGTTAACAGTACAGTGTTAAAGCAAGGTTTCAACAACATTCATGAGCATTTAAACATGCGCTCTTGATTTTTTAAGTGGTACGCCACCATAGGTGATTCGGTTGACTTTTAGTCCTTAGGGGTTTTAAGCTACTAATTAACCCATGGGAGGCTTAAAATGGCAGTTATATTTATCATCATTGCCAGATTGTTAACCAAAGGTGTGATCTATTCAAATTTTTATCACTAGAGTGTTTCACGGTTCATACTTCATACGATACCTTACTTAAATATAGATCGCTTCACGAATCTGTGTGCCACAGTTGCTGGGATCTTCCATTATCTTAAACGTTCCAAATTTAAAGACTTTTATGTTCCGTAAGAATTCTGAGTCGACTTAAAAAAATACTTTAAAAAAAAAACAACTCAATTTAATAGATAAATAATTAACTTAGCTTCATGTCCATAATTTAGAGCACAGAGCATTACCTATGCACATGAGATATTACTAAGTACAAGTAAAATATGATATGAAATGTCTTTGTCAGGTAAACCTGCTTTCCCCTATGACTTACCTGGACACACTTGTACAAGAACTGAAATTGAAGAATTCGCAAAGTCGTGTCAAGAAATAGGGGTCAACTACGTGGGGCTGTGCTGTGGTAATGCCTCTCATTACACCAGGATTGTGGCAGAAGTAGGTCATTACACAGTCTTGTAGAAGAGTGTTATTACACAAGGCTTTTGACAGAAGTAGGTCATTACACAGTCTTGTAGAAGAGAGTTATTACACAAGACTTTTGACAGAAGTAGGTCATTACACAGTCTTGTAGAAGAGAGTTATTACACAAGGCTTTTGACAGAAGTAGGTCATTACACAGTCTTGTAGAAGAGAGTTATTACACAAGTCTTTTGACAGAAGTAGGTCATTACACAGCATTGTAGAAGAGAGTTATTACACAAGGCTTTTGACAGAAGTAGGTCATTACACAGTCTTGTAGAAGAGTTAATACACAAGGCTTTTGACAGAAGTAGGTCATTACACAGTCTTGTAGAAGAGAGTTATTACACAAGGTTTTTGACAGAAGTAGGTCATTACACAAGATCGTAGAATACAGGTCATTAAACGCGGGTTGTGGCTGATGTAAGTCATTATGCACCCGTCGGGGCCGTGCTTAGGAAAAGCTGCACACAGGGCAATGGCTGAAATTGCTGCCTCTAAATATTTGTATAAAAATGCCAGCCGGACCAGCAACAAATGACGTATTTGCCACCGCTTGTCTCTGTGAAGTATGTGTGATTTAATTCACCATTAAAGTCATATCTTAAGATTTTTTGGGTCCCTTTTTCTGATGTTAACACAGGGGCAATCACCCCCCCCCCCCGCGTGGCCCTGTGCACCATGACTATTGTCACTATGGAAATTATGTCATTAGGCCAGAAATGTGACAGAGTGGTCATCTATTCGAATTGTGGAATACTCTTGTCAATCTGAAACATCAACATTTTAACTATAGTCCTTACGCATGTATGCCGGCTGTCTAAATGTGCTACAGAGGTACTGGTACACATGGGCGCCCGCAGAAAACTGTCTAAAAAAGGGGGGGGGGGATCGATTAACTTTCCAGGGGGGGGGGGGCAAACATTTTTAGTAATGTTTTAATGTAGTTTTAATTTACTGTAGCGTATTTGTATGGTGAACGAACGGACAGGACATCAGCTTAGTTACTTTCTCTTTATTTTCTATTTACTTTAATACATTTTTTGTCTATTTTTGTATAAATTTTTTTTAATCCAAGCAATCCAGGGGGGAGGGGGGCAAGTGCCCCCCCCCCCTGCGGTCGCCCATGCTGGTACACCAGAACTGAAGCACAAATCATAGTTCTGGTATCTGGTAATGTGAAGAACACATAACAAGGAGCTGTGGAGGATTGCTATCAACAAGCGCACTTCAAATGTTAAAAAAAATTAATTTAAGTGTTAACGGGTCAATTATTATGCAACAGGGAACTTAATTCACAAGTATTTATAATTTTGCCAAGATACATATTTGAAATGATCTGTGCAGGTTTATGGTCGCCGCCCTCCAGCGAGTCGGTTCTCACCGGACATGTCCAAACATTTCATGTACGGGGACAAGTCCAAGTTCAATCAATATCACACAGAGGACATGGTGAAGTTTACTAAGGCGGAAAAATGAATCAAATCCAGAGAAAATGATGTGATTGGCTAATGTGGTGTGGTTATCTGCTGTAATGCTGCAAGTCTTATTTTAAGAAGAAGATCATTTAATTTAATAAAAAAAAATTACTTCAATAAACATGACAAAATGTGTCGAGTTTATGCTCGATTTATCTGAGGTAACACATCATTTCTACTTGAAATTAAAAAAAAATAAATAAAACCATCGTGTTTTGAGTCAAACTAATAAATCTGATTAGTTGAGTGTTCTCTGCAGTTACATTATATACCTCTCATCACACTGTTTTTTAAAAAGCAGTAATGACAACATCAGTTGACAGTTTTGACACTTAGTACATTTCATGCCCTGTGTTAAGAAGCTCCCCTGCACCTTGTCATTAGTTCTTTTTAGTTTAGCTGTTTTGCTATATCGTGCGTGCACGAGTTGGAATGAGGTTTTAGTGCAGTTGTTGAACTTTGCCCCACAGCAAAGATATATACTCTAGTTATCCCAATATTTGTTGAAGAGCCTTTAAGTTACCAGACCTTGCAATGTGCAAAACTGATTTCACTTCACCAAGTCCATCCTAACCATTAAACATATTTGAGCAGTGAAGTTTAGGTCATAAATATTACTAAGTGTGATATCTAAAACTCTAGGGTATTAGTTACCATACTTGAAAAAGTAGTGGTAACTGGTATTCTTAGATCAAGTTAATCCGTTTAAGACTGAACAAAATTGAAGTGAAAGTTTTTTAAATAGTTTAATTAAACGTCTCATATTCATCATATTATGTTAATCTCTTGCATTTTAATTTATTTGAATTCTTCCTTAAGCATCTTGGAAATTATTATCCTGAATAATTTTTAAAACTGGGTTAAAAAAGAAGAGAGAAAAAAAATAGGGGTGGGTGGCAGCTTTAGGGCTGAGTGGTGGCTAAAAAAATGTTTTTTTCAGAACCTTCCGACTCTAAGGCTTTAGGCTATGTATACATATTGTATAACAAAATACTTCATTTCCTGTGCCAAAGACAGGAAAAAACAACTTCTGCTATAGCTGATGGTACCTCACACAAGATGAAAAGAAAGCTAACATTAAATTGTGTGAACATGACCATGGGTGTGTTTATTTTAAAAGAAGTTTATTATCCGTTGCTAATTTGCTTGAAGTCCACTCATTTCAGCTTCATAAACATCCTTTAATATTATTTCTACTACAGAAAAAGACTTTAAAAAAGCAATAAAAACAGAACACTCATGTCAGTTCTTTTTAAAAATGTAATTAATAGAAATGAAACTATACATACAAAGGTGAAAATCATAACAGCATTTTACTCTTTAGATAACACACATATGAACAATCAATGACATGTATATACAACAAGCATCTGCTCACAGATTAGGACTTGAGTACACGTATGGGACGGTTAGCGTCTTCTTGATGATGACCTGAAACAAACAAAGTCAACTGTTAAATTCTGATAGGTACAAATTGGTTTCAGGGAAGGAATTTCGTTGGATGAGCAGAATCAGAACAATAATTTCTGGTGAGATATAGAATTAAATTGTTTAATTGTAACAGTAAAATCAATGTTTTTTGTAACGTTGGACTCAACAGTAGGATAGTGGCTATCTAAATAATTTCTTGAAGGTATGTTTAAAAAAAAAAGGTTGAGTGCATGCATTGTTCAGAAGCCTCCATTCAAACAATTTGTCAAACTGCTAGACTAAGTGAAAAGCTGGCATACCTGGATCGAGATCTACCGTTGTGTTTTCCCTTGGATGTCTTACCACGATTCCTTCTTTCAATACCATAATCCTCTTCTCCCCCCTCATCATACTCATCTCTGTTACTGTGATTTCTAGACTTGTGCTTCTTCTCCCTGGAGGGTGAATCCTTCCTCCTCCTCTTCTTAGAGTCTTCACCGCTCTCTGAGGTTGACCTTGACCTCTTTCTTCTTTTGCTGGACTTGGAGCCAGGTTTGTGCCTGTTTTCATCCAATGCACTGCGGCGTGAGGATCGCTCTTTATCCCTACTCCTACTTCGCTTATCCCTACTTCTACTTCGCTTATCTCTACTTCTACTTCTTCTGCTACGAGAGTCTTTATTGTCCCTACTTGCACTTCTCTTTTTTCTAGATTTTTCCTTGTCCCTCCGTCTGTCATCGTATTGGTCTCTGTCATCATCTGACATATCCTTATACCTGTCATCTCGATACCTGTATCTATCCCTCGATACACTTTTCCTATCCCTACTATGACTACGCTTCTCCCTGCTCCTCCTATTACTTTCTACACTTCTACTTCTATCTTTCTTACCACTAGACCTTCTCGTGCTATTCCTGCTGTCTGAACTAACACTGCGTTTATGTCTTTTTGTTGTGCACTTTGAATGGTTTTCTTTTCTGGATGACTCATTTCTAGAAAAATCTGAATTGATTTCCTTGTTTTTAGCCTTATTATCCCCACCATCCTGGTTTTTAACAATATTTTTTCTCTCTAAATTGTCCTCTTTATCCTGTCTTATGTCCCTGATATTTTCTGGACTTAAAGTTTCTGTCTTTGAAACGGAAACGTTCTCCCCAGTCTTACGTTTAACTTTGACCGCATCATCTTTTTCACGTTTTTCTGTTAGCTTTTTAGATGAAACATTTTTTTCTTCTGAAGTAGATGTTGACGACGATGATGAAGAAGAAGATGAGGTCGATGAACTGCTATCATCCCCATCTTCTTCTTCATTATCACTTCCACTTGAGCTGCTGCCACTACTGCTGGAGGTGTTAGAATCAGAGGAAGAACCCGAGTCCTCACTGGAGGACCTTAACGCACCTCTATTCTTCTCTTTATTTTTATGCTTCCTATCACTGGCAAGGGATTCTTTAACAGTCTCAACACTTTTCACTACACTTCTATCATGTTTACTAGCACTTCGATTTTTTTCTTCTTTTATGTCAAGGCTATGTTTGCTCTCTTTTTTTGAAATGCTTTTCTTTTGTTCATATTTGTCTCTCACTTCTTTATCTTCTCTGGTTTTAGCTTGCTCACTTTTATTCTTCCTTTTATCAGTAATGTCTCTAGTGTCACTGACAACTTTGCTATCACTAGAGGATTTTCTAGATTTGACACGGTTACTTTTGCTAACTTCTTCCACTGAAGCATTGCTTCTAATTTTGTCAGGCTTATTGTCGTGACTATTCTGTCGGTCTGTTTTTGGATTCTTAGAATCCACTCTATCACTATTGCGTCTGTTGCGATCCTCATCCGCCCTCTTGGAAGATCTGCCTGATGATTCATCTTGCTTGGATTTTGATCTGTCCAGAGCTTCAGTTTTTCCTCCTATTTAAATACCGTATTAAAATAGAAATGTAACAATTTTTTTAGATTATTTATCTGCATCTGATACAACTCCATTTATACGGTATTAGAAGTATTTTAGTGAATTCTCTAAGCACATTCAAGTTGAAAATAACAAGACATTATGTCTGATCATTAAAAGACTTGATAAAAAAAGAAAAGAAAAAAGTCACTAGATTGAACCCACAAACTGTGGCATAGATAATTCTGTAGTGTGGCTTTTCAGAGCTTTTTTGAGTGCCTTCAGAAATAGCATTAAATGACATAGAAATATTGCTACAAGACCCCAATAAGTATATATATTTTTAGAAAGGTAAATGGATGGGGATAAAGTTGGCTATATTGCCCACCCGTAAAAATTGTTTTTGTTCAGTGTCCTTGACATGCTCAAGAAAAATAATAATCGACAAAATGTCTTGCTTTCAAGTGCTCATAACTGCATTTAATTTTTATAGATTCCATTAAAATGTTAATACAAATGTGGTAGCCAATTCATTTATTTTCAGAAAATGTATAGTTTGCTAAGGTTTTGATTACAATTAAGCCTCTGAAAGCAATTTTAGTAATTTTAGGTCATTTATAACTGGAAAGAAAAATAACTGGGACCACAGCTAAAACCAAGTACAACATACAAAATCTCATGCAAAAAAGTTATTATTGACTAGTGAACATTTTGAACTGTGAACTGATTTGGGTTGTTTAACTATAAAATTTATTAGTTCTCATCTCTAATCTGTAGCTTCTGTGACTAAAATTCATTTAGTCCTTGTCCAACATCCGGGCCTCGAAGTCTAACAGTAGGCCTACTTCAGTATCACTAAGACTAGTATCAGATTCACTAAAAGTAGTTAAAAAATATTTATATCAGCTCTCGTACTGAAGGCCCAGCCATAGCTTCAGCCATTTTAGCTTTAAAAAAAAAAACAGCAATATAAAATGTCCATTAAAAAGTACTTATTTTTAAGTTATCAACAAACAGCTTGACCCAGAAGATTATTTAATTATTGATAAAAGGAAATGGCAAAATTCTGGTTAATATTGGATTGGAAGTTGCTATCGGACCGTGTTTTTTTATTATCCGGCACAGTACAGAACGAGAAAATCGACCGATGTTTTGGCTGACCACAGTTTGTGGGTTAAATAAATTTTAGCAATTTTCATAAAAAGCACATTTCTAGGAAAACGAGAGGACACATTTATTACAAAAGCTGTACCTCCAATTTCTTCATCCATATCATTTGAGATACGCTGTCGTTTGGCAAAGTCTTCCTTCTTGCGCCTGATCTTTTCTTCCAAGTCTGAGTCAGATTCAGAATCATCCCCGCCTCCATTGGTGTCCTCAGCATCACTTCCATCACTGCCTGACCCATAGCCTAATCCTGTAAAGAGATAACTAGCGGTGTGAGCGAAGTATGTATAAAAAAAAAATATTTAGATTTACATACACATAAATGATTTCTGTAATTGTATAAACTAAGATTAATGTATGATTTATTTAATACTGTTACTAGAAATTTGATCGAAAGAAATTTCGTAGACGGAAATTTGATCTGAAATTAGGTCCATCTTTTTTTTCAGTTCACATGTTAAAATTTACATCAAATTTCTTTTTGAACGAACTATTATATATAGTAAAACAAAATAATCAACTCAAATAGAAATTTGAAGCAAAAATTTCGTTTGATCAAATTTCCGGATACGATTTAATACAACACAAAGAAACCAAAAATTAATAAATAAAAATAACAAATATTTAATAAACCTGGATTTAACTCTTTTCCAACCTCTCTGGTCTGCTATGTAAACAAATGTATGTGTGCAATGAAATCAGAATGCAAAGTTTTCAAAATTCATCAGCAAGATTAACACTACAGAACTCACCCAAGGATGTCAAAGAGGCCAAAGCCGAGGACTTGGCGAGTTGCTTTGCTGGAGCTTTGATATAATTATATAGACGGACATTAGTGTGGAAAAGAACAGGACATAGACAATACATTGACAGGAGCAGCTGCAAGATGTGGTTTGGGTGATGTAACCACCACACTTGGCTTGCTCCACAACCACCCTGAAAGAAAGCTGAGAATTATTCATGACCAAAAATAGGATAGCTCCTTTCTCCACATTAATTCCCTTATATTTAAACTTCTAATTATTCCTTAGATATAGAAAGTGTCTAACAAAAGAAGTGTAGACAAAACAAAATTTTATGTTTCTTCCTACAATGATTTAAATACTTACCTTTTATTTTTTAATTATGAGATATTAGTACACATACAATTCATCATATGGGAACATCTTACAAATATTCTCACTGCATTAATATGATAAAGTAGCTTTCATATCACTTTCAGTGGAACTTAGTTTTAAAAGAAAATTAAGTTTAATGGTCAGTAAATACAAAAGAATAACTAAAACATCAAGAACTGGGAGCCTCAATCCAAATATGGAGTACATAGAAAGGTCAACTATGAACATTAGATAAGTCATCAGAAATATATCAAAATTTTGCCCTTCTAATTGGGGGATAGACTAGTCAATCTTTTTCCTGATACTAGATGAAATGAAAAAGATTCTAGTTAAAGATTAACTCGGTAGAATAATAATAATTTATTATCCCACGGATATATTAATACAAGCTTGAATAGCTAATTAACAAATTTTTGTGCAAGCCAATCAGAAACTACTATTAGCTCTTCTGATATGGCATTGGTGCATGAGCTCCCATAGTCATATCATGTTTATGAGTCGTCAATTTAGTGCAAAGACATAACAATATTGAGAATGCCATAACAATAATTGTTTTGGCAACAATATATAAAATATACACTGTCTTTCCCTCCTAAAAAACAAAAAAATAAATCTTTCATAGTTATTTATTATAATGCATCTATTAATTGTCTTTTTTTGTATTAAAAGGTGGAGTTTTTCCAATCAGAAATGAAATTCACTATAAAATAATTGATGGGTGGATAAATCATGATACTCTCAGTTGATATATTTAAATAAAAAAACTTTCTGACAGCTTGCCTCTTAAAAATCAAGACCAAAACATCAGAGAGAGAAAAACCAATGTCAAATTAGATGAACGTCATCGTTTTATATATCATGTTCCATTTTAAACATTTTGTGTATTCAGCACCACACAGCAGTCGTTTAAATCTTTGTTTATTTATGTATAAGTCTTGATTTATGTCATTCTTTATGACAATATTGCACAGAATGGGACTACCTTTCATTGCTTTCTTGCGAGCACGTTGATATACCTCAGTAGCTACAGCACGAATCTCTGCATTGGTAACTTCCAGAAGAGTCTCTGTCAACATTCTCTTTACTTTCATCATCTGTGCAACAAGCCAAAGGAATCAATTACAATACAATTTAGATTTTTAAACTCAAGTATCATTTACATATTATTAACACACTGAGGCAGGGCTTTTCATTCAAAGATTCACAAAAGTTCTTGGCTTCTTATGGGCCCTCCAGGGACATCTCTATTTGTGAACCTCCCTTTCCCTAAGATGTTTCACCTTATTGGTGAACCATTTGGCTACCCCAGGAATGCCAAAGGGGTAGCTTCATTTCAATTTGACTTTACTTAGTAAGGGATGGATTCCTATTGGGATTACTATAAATGTCATTTCAGGGCAAAGCATAATCCTGCTGGATCTTAACTGGTACCTTCTCGCAAAGGTTTCCTCAGAGCTGTTGACCACTATCGATCCCAGAAATGTTTAATTCTAAAGTTGTACTGGGCACTTCAGGCCCCTAAGTTAAACCAGTCATAAAAACTAGCTAGTGACGGGGACGGAACAGCTCCCTAGCAGATCCACCATCAAAGGGGGTTGCAAATTCATGTGCCCTTTAAACCATAGCATCTCCCTTTACACCATAGCACCTAACATGTGCCCTAAACCAGCTCTTAAAATATGTGTCTAATTTTTTACGCCATATTATTCCTGAGGTGACCCTGATTTAGGCAGGTTTGTTTCCCTGCAGATTCTATAGGTCACCTCAAGAGGCCTACTCTACCCCAGCCGCAGGCTGCCATGGTGGGCAGACTGCAACCAAAGCATTTTTTATGCGTGTAGAGAATGGAATTTAATTTAGATTGAGAGTGGGGGAACAAATAAGGTGTAACAGGAAGGATGGGAGATGGTAATGAATTTATGATTTCTGATTTTATGTATGTAACATAAGGACAGCCCATTAATGTGAGATCAAACAGAATGTTTAAATATAATATAAATATATAAACAGCATAGAGTCTATAGTTTTTTTAGTTGACCTTTTCCAGCTAACATCATCATAATAATAATAAATGTATTCTAATAAAATTTCAACAAAAGAATTGTAATAAAATAATGTTCATATATCTCCTGAAAAAGTCCAGTATTATTCATTTCCAATTTTTTAAATTCCTAAAATGTAATAAACATTGCATTGCACTGGTCTTAAGTGAAATATGGATATGAGTGTTCTTGACTAGTAGCATAAAAACTTGTTAAAAAGTGGCATTTTGGACTATCATATTTGGACAATTTGGTTCAGGCCTTACAAGTGCTATCTCTCTGTCTTCATCAGTCATAAAATTGCTGGGTGATGGAGATCGCTTGATAACTGTAGGTGACTTCGGCTGATCTTTAACATTAGGTTCCACTTTTACAAGAGGATCTGGTTTCTTATCTTCAACATCATCATCCACTTCATCTTCATCCTTCTCTTTTTCACTCTGAGGATCCTCATCATCAGAGTCCTATGTAGTTAAGAATTTAAAGTAAAAAAGGTTTGAATAAATATTATGCAAATGACTGTAGGCAATAGTTAAAATAATCTACAGACTATATGTATAGTAATAGTACTAACCCTAAAACTTAAGATCCAGAACATTTTCCTTGTTAATAATTAACAGCTATTACACATATTAGACATCAAACTGAAGCACTATATTTGATTAAATCCTTTATATTAACTTCACTTTTGTTTTTGTGTTTGTGGCAAAATCTTCAAAAGGCTAAATGACCCACTTCCCATCATCCTATCGAGCTGAAACTTGCAACATTGACTCATTGCAGATGACAACACATTCTTTCAAATTTTCAGCCCCACCTCTAACACTAAAAATCAATTTTTTAAGGGAAGCATGAATGAAGCATGATTTTTTCAATGGGCGAGTGTTTTGGGGTGGAGATTGTGTAGCTGTTGCTATGCGCTTTGTATTTTTAATGCAATTGGGTATGCCGTAAAGATAAAATGTATTTTTGAAGGGTAAAATTAGGGAAATATGAAACTCGTTTTTGACAGAAGTTTACCTATTTACATAACTGCTTCTTAATAAATGATAAACCATGTACAATTATATATAAATGCAACAAAATGCATATAAAGGATTTATACAAAAGGTTGTTAATTTTGTCCCTAATCTTTTGAAACTTACAAATTTGCTTTTCATTGGATTTGACTCATCCGCAGATCCTTTCCTTTCCATATTTCCTTCTTGTTCCTTCAGCATGGCATCTCTTTGCTGTTTTGACATTTCTTTTTCCAAAAGTTTTTGCTTCTCTCTCTCCATCTTTTCAAGACCCTCCCTGATCCATGCAGGTAAAGCTCTTCGTTTAGCTGCATCTGTCAAATATAATAGCACCATTTTTTTTATATTTTCATGTAAAAAAATTGAGCTATCTGAGCAATTTTTTAATTGATACAGCACAGCAGAAATATTAAAATAAAATAGGGCTCTAGTACCATTTACGATTTAAGTAAATGATTTGAAAGCTATTTTCAGCATTTTACCTTTCTTGTTCCTGCAACTCTAACTATTAACCCATTCAACCCCGTAACCCCCAAATCCAGCTGGGGACTGAAAGCATAAATCTTGCTATTTAAATGAAAATTGTTATATTCAGCAATCAGGCGAGGAGTTTTCAATATTCTAATAGCAGATTTTTTTTATTTTGATATGATAATGTGGCGTCAAGGAGTGTTAAAGAAGTTACACAACACAAGCATTGGGAAATAATGTTATGCTTATTATAAGCAACCAATTATGAATGCAAATCAATTTATTTCATAGAAATATAGTGCAAAATAGATTTTTACATATTTTTGTTTAAAAGCTATCTACAGTAACGGTGGAGTTGTTGAACTATTGCTTGGTTTATAAGTTATGAATGATAAAATTTCTGAGCTCTCAAAATTGAATGAGCTAATCTTTTTAGAATAGGGGAAGTTAATTTTTTGTGCATTTTGACAAAGGGATTATTAGTTTTAGAAATCAGATTTCAAACTGATTATCAATGATTTTACTTGACTATGCACACTACAGGAGGTGAGACCAAATGTTAATAGTTGCTTTTTTAAATTCTAAAAATAGATTAACTTTCAGTTTTTGAAGCGGCTATTTATACCCGGGTACCAGAAGTGAGATGTTGGGATTAAAAAATCTATTTAAAATATCATTGTTGGGTTTGTAAGACAAAATAAGGACTCAAATGAAAGTGTCCTCGTTTTATAGCCATTTTAATTGTTTCTATAGTATAGTAGTTACTATCCTAATGTCTCATTTTTATTTTAGTTAGTTTACATGTTTTTAATAATTGTAAAGCGCTTAGAGCTTTAAGGTAAGCGCTATATAAAAATGCCTAAGTAAATAAATAAAGATAATTGAATGGACTATATGTTTGTACTCTTAGTTCTTCAGTTTAACTAAAATAAACTACCACAAATGACATCTGAATAGCATTGAGTCAAAATGGACCCAGACACGCAGTGCCGCCATTCGCACCCTGGTACCATTAAACACATTGCTATTCGGATGTAATTTGTGTAGTTTATTTAATTAAACTGAAAAAGTAGGTTTACAAACATATAGTCCATTCAATTATCTTTCAGTTGATTCCTCATTTTGTCTTACAAACCCAACAATAATATTTTAAATAGTTTTTGAATCCCAACCTCTCACTTCTGGCACACAGGTGCGAATAGTCGCAGCCTTCATTTTTAATGCTATAATTCAATGAAAACTGATAACAAGAAACATGAAAATATAAAAGCTACCGGTATTTTCAAAAATGGTCTGCGAAGACCAGAAAGGTTTTACAGTAAATGGCTTCAGCAATTCCATATTTAAGAGGTGACCTAATTTGTTGTTGATGAAATTTGTTTGCGTTTTGATCTTGGTGAGCCCTTTACATGTTACATTTACAGTAAATTTAGGGATTGTAGAAAAACAGAAAGAACAAAGTGAAACTAGGACACATAGTGTTGAGGTTCAAACATTGAGACAGTATGCTAATCAGATTCAGTGGATCTCAGTAAAGGAGTTCACATGTGCTGTGATTGAAAAGAATATATTCCAAAAATGTATTACTGGATGCACACACAACAGTTTTGTCACCAGACATTCTTATGTCTAACTTTGTAAAGTAATAATTTAAAATTACCAATACTGCCATCTTCTTCCTCAGAGACTGGATCTGTCTGCAAGTGACCATGTCGCCCTGGTCTATGATTAGCATGTTGTTGATGATGGTGATGATGAGGGTGATGCCGCTGGTGTGGGGGCCTGATTGGAGGATCTGGAAGAAGGGCTGGTTGTGAGGAGTCACTGTCTCCCGTTGTTTGTTCATCCCAATAAGGAAGGAAACTTGCATCTTTATTCACAACATCCTTATAAATAAGACATTTGATAGATAAGTGTAGAAAAATATAAATTATGATGGACAGCCAACATTAGCTAAAAATCTTGTAGAAAATTCGAAGAACTTTTAAGTATAGAATAATGCTCATTTATTTCAAATAGAATTTAAAATATGAGTCTCAAGGGTGATTCTAAAGTCTCTATAAGAAAAAGCTGCCATCTTTGTCCTAGAATACAAATAATATATGCATATATATACAGTATGCGCCAAAAGTAACAGTGCTGAAACTGCTGCATCTTGTTTGTATATGTGAACTGAGCACTATTTTCACTCTTACGGAACTGGCCATGAAGAGGGTCTGAGTTTGAATAAGGTAGCATAACAATTCTGAGAGACACAATTATGTGATTTAGAAATTTCTGGATGTGTAATGTCTCAACGGAAGAATAAGACTAAAAAAACAGTAACTGTTTCGACAGATGATAATAACGCACACGTTCTGCAACAGATTCTACATTGGCCCCTACAATGAAAATCTTTGAAACTGAACATCTGCGATCGATATGTCCGTTCTCCATTTGTCCAAGGACATAGGTGCATTGTGCATTTTTTGTAACGGAAACAGTTTCGACAAGAGATAATAATCTGTGAGACCTCCTTGTGTGCAGTCACATCCGCACTGCCCGTTACCATTTTGGGACCAAGCCATGTGGATGCAGCTGTTGCAACACTTGCCCCTTTTTGTCATCCAGATTCAACATACTCCGTTGCCTAAGGGCTGTTTTCAGATAAGGGTCGCTTTCCTTTATACTAGCCCCAATGTTGCCTACAAAATTTTTTGCACCCACTGCCAGATGGCGTATCTATGCGAGACTGGATGCCACCTCTCTGACAGAAGTACTGAACATCTCCATAATACTACGCAAGATAAGCAGTGTCTTATCTCAAAACGCTACAACAGAAGCGACCACAAGGGCTCAAGGGATTTTGCTATCACTGCCATTGTGTCTTATACAAACACACCAAAACCGGAAAAAAAAACAACTGATTCAGACTTATGGAACCTTGACACGACATGACATTGAATGTCATGACCACATTCACTTAAAACTTTTCTCCGCCCCTTCCTGTTACAGCCAACCACAGTGGACTTACTTTTCCTCTCTTCTGTCTCATTTTGCCTGTATTAAATCTATCGCCAATTTATGATCTGTCACATTCTTCTTGCTGTCTTTACGGATACTACATTGCCGTTAATTTTCGTCTTCTTTGTTTTTACTTTTGTTTGTTCGCTGAAGAAGGCTTCTAGCCAACACATTCGTTATTTTATTGCATACTTTTTTCTCTCCATACATTGTTTCGTTTATTTCCAGTTTGGACAAAGCTATACAGAGCCAGACATGTGAGTCAGGATGATGCATTGTGGAAAGGGGGGGGGGGGGGGTGTGTTTGTTTCCACAAGGATTCACTCTTTTTTTTTTAGGAATGTGTGGTTCTCGGATGAAAGTTACATTCACTGGAATGTCTACATGAATCGCCAGACAACTCGCTTCCTTGATTTTGATAAGCCAGATGTTATTGTCCAGGAACCTCTACGCAGTGCACATGTGATGATATCTTGTGCCGCTTCAGCACTTGGTAGTTTTGGCCCCTATTTCTTATTGAGGATGAGGAAGGCAATGCACTTACATCACCTAAGAAGGTTTAAAGGACATGGTGATTGAACCCTTTTTCCGGATTTGAGAAAGTTGTATTGTGCAAGGAACCTTCACATGAATAGACAGTTGTAACAACAGGCCAGGATGACCAGCCACACCGCTCAAGAATCTATTGCCATGCTGCAGAAAACTTACCTAGACAAATCATTTCATATTACTACTCATACCCGTCTCTTACTTACTTACGCCTTTCTACCTCATCTGGGGCATAAGCCGTCAACAAGAACTTTCCACTCATCCCGGTCCTGTGCTTTCCTTTCCAATTGCTTCCAGGTGTATCCAATATTTTGCGTGTCTGCCTCTAGCTCGCGTCTCCATGTATTCTTAGGCCTTCCTCTCTTTCTTTTTCCCTGTGGGTTCCATGTTAGGCATTGTCTGGTGGTGTTATCTGGGGTTTTCGGAGTGTATGCTCTATCCACCTCAACCTTTTCTTTATATCTTTATCACTGGGCACCTGGTGTGTCCTTTCTAGTAGATCTTTGTTGTTGATAGTATTTGGCCATTTGATTTTCAGGGTCTTTCTAAGGCATGTGTTTATGAATGTCTGCACTTTCTGCATAAGGCTCACTGTTGTTTTCCAAGTTTCTGCACCATATAGTAGGACTGTACACCAGCTAATGCCTAACTGTGAGGAATGTTAATGGAGAGTGTGTTCAACTGTGAAGATCCAATAAGAACTGAGCTTACGTTATGCAAGAAAATAGTTTCCTCTTTCAGGAGTCTGCAATAAACATTGTTCAGTGATATCTTGGGATATCTATGTGAGCCATATGAGAACTGTCTATAGCGAGGCGGTGAACACTATGAATATTTACGCTACAGAGACTGTAGTAAATCAAGACGCTAATAGTGTGTATTTTAGTATCTTTCAAGAGAAATAAAACTGAATATGACAGCAAGTAAATATTGTTCCTCTTTTCATTTCAGTACAGTTACTTTTGGTGCATTCTATATTTACCAGTCCCATAGAAACACCTGGAAGAAAATGGATCAGTTCTACAGTAGACATTTACCTGATTAAAAAACATCGAACCCCCTGGTGGGAAGCCGGTCATATTTCCATCATATCCTTCCTACAAATTGTAAAACAAAAAATTTACCAATTTATTAAAGAATTACAAAAAAAAGAAGTCTAAAAGAAATTTGTAAACCATTAGGTACAAAGCATTTGGGTGATTTTCTTCTCTTCTATATTTTGAGGAATCATGATCAATGAATAGATCATTCTGGCTCCAATGTTTCAGAGGGGTTCGCGAAGTAACTGTGAATGATTTTGAAGGGGATACTTCACTGGTTGCAAGGGCGACTCAGCAGTGGTGTTATGAACTGGGGGTTGGAAGTCAAGAGGCAACAGACACAAAAGTGTCGAGTGTAGTCACCTCAACTGTTCCTTTTGGAAGCTTGCTCCAGTCCCTTATTGTCTTGGGCAGGAATGAGGGGCTCCTGTACTGAGTTCTTGTTTTTATTAGCCGGAACTGCCTGTCGTGGCCTCATCGCTGTCTATGGGGGAGAGGGACGAGTTTCTGTTTAATGCTGGAGCAGTGGACCAGCCCATTTTTTATCTTGTACATCATGGAGGGCCTTGATAGTCGTTGTCGTACCTTCCAATGGTGACCAGCCCAGTGTTTCCAGCATGCTGCCAACACTTGAGGTATTTCTGTAGCGGTTAAGGACAAAGCATGCTCCTCGTCACTGGATTGCTTCCAACCTGTCGATGCTCCTCTTGGTAAATGGGTCCCAGACTAAAGGTGCTTACTCTAAAAGTGGCCGTACAGTTGTTAATGTGCTCATCCCAGCGGACCTATCTTTGAATGGTAAGACCTAGGTACTTTACGGAGGAAACTGGCTCAAGAATATGGCCATGCAATTTGTACGGGTGGTGTAGAGGGGATCTGCTTCTGGAGACTGACAGGGTCTGGCACTTGACGGGATGAAATTCCATGTCCCAGGTCATCTCTCATTCTGCTAACCGATGGAGATCCTGTTGTAGCTGGACCTGGTCAGAACTGTTGGCGATCATCCTTGTCCTATACATCGCCATGTCGTCTGCAAACAGTCTTGCTTGGGAAGTCAGCTTCTCAGGCAGGTCATTGTTATTTGCTAGGAACAAACAGGGGTCTAGTACTGAGCCCTGGGGGACTTAACACAGACAAAGGAGGAGGTTGTGCCGACTACCACTACTGCCTGACATCAGTCATTGAGGAAGCTAGAGATCCATGTTTTGGTAGTGCCTTGGATCCCATATCTCAGCAGTTTGTGTAATAGCAAACTATGATTGACACGGTCAAATGCTTTTTGGAAATCCAGCACAAGCACACCAGTTTGCTTGCTGTTCTCCAAATTCCAAATTGGTCGTCAATTCTTCAGCAAATTCAAGGAGTTGGGTCTCACATGATCTGTTGACTCGGAAGCCATGCTGACAGTCATTGAGTATATTGTGGCTTTAAAGGCGATTCATGACCGCGCTCACAATTATGTGCTCCAATAGCTTGCATACTAGGCTGGTGAGGGATATCGGGCGGTAGTTGGCAGGGTCGTAATACTCTCCTCTTTTTCAGAGTGGAGTGACATGCAATCCAGTTGGTTGGATCATTGCCTGTGCATAGTGACAATTGGAAGAGGATTGTCTGCGAGGGAGCGATTTCATTGGTCAATTCTTTGAGCACTTGTGGTTTGATGTTGTCAGAACCACATGCCTTGTAGGGGTTAATGGTTTTAAAAGGGCCAGCACACCCTGCTCTGAAATCTGTATATCTTCCATGATGGGGTAGGCTCTGCTCATTATGTTGGTCTTCAGGAGGAACTCAACCTGAGTACTCTCTACCATCACCAAAGACCGACTGGAACTGCTGATTTAGTATGTCCGCTAGTGCTTTTGGTTCAGACATCAAATGGCAGTCCTATCTCAGGGGGGAAACCCCATTGTTTTATGACTTTTGGTGCTTAATATAGCTCCTCATAGTATCCTCCTCTGAAAAGATGCCGTTCAGGTAGTTCCATTGAGATCTAAGCAGTAAGTGTTGGATGGTTCGGCGGAGCCTCAGTACCTCGGCTTTCAGTTTGACCAATCCATTCTTCTTCATTCGCTTGTACTGGTGGTCTCTCCTGTATATGAGCCTACAGATTTCAGCCGTGACCCATGGCTGATTTGTCTTAGGTTTGGTGGTCTTGTGTGATATGTATTTCTTCACTAGATCAGTAATTGTTGTCTTGAACTTCATCCACAGCTCTTCTGTTGTCGCTTTATCCTGAATCTCATGCATGCTAGAGCTCAGCCCTGTCCTTGCACTTCTCAGGCTATCCCAGTCTGCCTTGGCATAAATGGGGATTTCTCGCACAGCCCGCTTTTTTAGTGCGCTAACCTGAAAATTGCAATATGGTATGCAGTGGTCTGATATCCCGAGGATGACATCAACTCTTGGAAAAGATGTGGACTGTTGGTGAGGAGTAGGTCGAGAGTGTTTTCCCTCATGTGGGTTCTTTGACCATCTGTTCCAGACCATTTTTGGAGACCCCATACCACTTTTTTGGTTTTTTGTCCCATGTATTCATGTATATCTGAGGGCCCAAACGACCACTCTGCTTATGCGTTAATAGGCAAAACTTACTGGAGGAATTATATTGTTTCTTTGCAATTTGTTTGCTTTATTTAAAATCAGACCTGTTTACCCTCAAACCCCTAAAATCGTACAAGCTGGTCTCAAAATCGTACAATACAATATCTCAATAGTAAATAAATAAAACTACAGTAACGCAATAAAGTCTATTATGTAAAACCACCACACAC